CGAAAAAGTAGTTACATTGTATCGACATTTCTTCAGTTCTTACTGACCCAGTTATCATTTGTTTTATGATAAAAGTATGAATCGTAGCCGAGTCCCTCCAACAGTACACTTTAGTGTTACCAACCTAGGGCTGTATAAATTATCCTCCGCATAACATATAAGTGGCCCGGTTCTATGCATTATATGAAAAAAATATTGGCTGAGGTATAGACCGATGACATTCACGCACTAAGCTATTGAGAACTGTCATTATCCAACGGGCAATCACTCATCAACTGACATACGGAATCAGTCATGTTTCGGAAGTTCTTTGGCCAGGCTGCATTGAAATCACGTTTTTCTGAATAACCCTTTAATTTTCTGAAGTTCCAACTGAACCATAATTACTACCACTATCATCGACGGAGTAGATACCATGTTAATCAGAATGACGAGATATCAGCAGAAGTTATTTTGATGCTTTACACTGGATAATGGCTGTTATGGAGAGATTTTGTACACTTTAATTTGATCATTGTGACATACAAGGTATAATTGATATAAGGACAAGTGTGATTGTTTGTAAACTAAGGTGAATCGTCTTTTTGATAAAGTGTATATGTGGAAACGACTTGCTTCTGTGATTACTGATGTCCACCTATATCATGGGAAAACACTTTCCCGACTTTTTTATATTCATGTGGTTAAAAATCTAACTTTTATGATATCCATCTATACAATAAGTCGACCTAAAATTTAAAAGAGAAGACTAGGTCGATATGATTAGTCTTATCTACATTATTAAGCTAATTCTGTTAACCTAGTTTAGTCTGGAATGATGTGACCGTAGCATTACATAATCTTATACATAAGTTACACCTAATTATCTCTTAAAATGATTATCTATCAACCAGGTTATCTGGTCTCGTTTGGGGATTTAGTTAACGGTTGCTATTATCAATGAAGTGATTGAATAACTTGAACACACTAACGTTAATTGTTGCACTAGCCTCATTATAATCCTTTGCATGTATGTCTATCTGTTTATTTGTTAACCTTTTTTTTCTGTAAATATTTGAGAAACGCTCAATAGGCGACACTCGACGGTTTGTAGTCACTTCAATATAATGCAGATTATAACAGTTTAATGCAGTTCTGGATTTATTCTATTCTAATACAGTTTCTTGATGTTTTATTGTGAATGTCATTTCTAATATACTGCAGTTGCGGATGATTATGGGGCTTGTGCTGATATAAATCCAATAAAACTACGAAGACGTCTTACTGTGTAATGCATTTATAACTATTATTTTAGTCAAGTTGCGTCCATGCAGTGTTTTGATTTTTTATTACTACTGTATATCCCAGTTAGTTTTGATATAAATTTAAAGGATCCCGTCTCGAGTCTTTATTTATTCATTTTACAATGAAAGTAACATCTACGGTCTTTATGAATTTTGATATATTGTTTCACGCTTGGTGATCAGTCTTACGCACATTTTTCGAACATTTTAATAAAAACCGAAAAGGAGCAGAAATATTGACGATATACATATACTTTATCAAAATGATACAAGTCATGAAAACTTCGTTTGCAACGACAAACAAATAACTTACCATAACATCATCTGTTATTTGTCAGGCCTGCGGTGATGTGAGAATGAACAGTTGTTGGTAACTTAAGGCACGAAATATCAACCTATGAACAAAAATTATTGCTATCAGTATATAATGTAATTTCACTCAATTTTATGCTGATAGTTTTGAATTTTGATTTTCACTTGCGTACTGTACTTTGAGATTTGTCATGAACCACGGGAAGTACAAACTGATAGTTTTCCTAGGTCCCTCGATCAGAGTAGGACTTTAACAGTTGTGACGTTTCTATGAACTCATAACTCCTGTGTACTCGATGTCTACCTGGTTTTGAATTATGAATATATAAGGCGTTCGTTTGCGCTCACCTAATTCTGTTTGGTTGAAAGTGGACTATTTGGGAGATTGCTAGTTCGTTTAGTAATCTAAATCCTCCTAATCATCACAACAGTGCAACAGAAAGCACGGGGCAAATGATGTTCACCACGAACGTGAGTTACTTGAAATCAATTTGTCGAGTTAGCGGTCAATAATGATTAAAATAACATGGATAGGTACATCAATTCTGGCCCAGACCCGAATACAACAAAGTTACCGAGTGAAATACACTTTTTTTAGTAGTCGACTGACAGGCCGACAGGAAGGTAACACCTAGTTGCTTAGAAGTGAAAGTATGAACATGGATTCTTTAAATATTTCAAAAAATATCTTTATCGTGTGTAAGAATCTATTTGACAAGGAAACGCATCACCTTGATCAGCAACGAATGAAAAATAACCGCGACATTTTCAAATGTCAAATTCAAACCAGTCGCCATGCCCACTTCATCAAGTCTGACTTGATAAATACCTGCTAAAATAAAGTGATATTTCGCATTTATTCGGTGACCAGAGTTGTTGTTGGCTGAGGCACGCTCGACGAAGGCAATCAGTTTTTGTAATTCGAGAATTTTCATTCTACCTGGCCCATGTACAGTAATCAAACTGCAACAGGGTTGATTAGTAAAGGAGTGCATGAGAAAATTCTTTCTATCACATCAAGAGCGAGGACATCAAAGAGTTGTTTTGTATTGTTACGGATGTCATTATTTCACTTATATAATAGAAATATGTTTCGACAAATTTTTAAACAACTCATCCGTAAACACTAACGCATATAACATCAATCAACATATGTACAACACAATGATTGGCATGAATTGCTCCCCAGACCAATGGTCGGTACATACGAACGAATGGACACTTGGGACTATACCCTGACATCAAGCAAAATTAAGGTGATCAGGGTACAAGCAAATGCGGTCATATTAAACGTTCTCATGCGGAAAAATAGCAGTTTTATATTTTTTGTATGGTTTAAGAAGGCGTATTGAAGGAATAATAATGCCATTACCGTTACACAAGAATTGGTCGTTGAACAGTCTTGCACGCTTAAACGTTCATCAGTTTCAACTGTACGCTACGTTCTAGGTCATTTTTTACGGTTTGTGAATTTCTAGATTCATTCCTTGTTCTCTCTTGAGTTACAATAACAGCTTATATCCCTGTACAATGCTCATAATGAATGCTTGTGATCGGAAACTTTAATCTAATTTTTAATGCAAATCATCAACAGTAAAAGAGAATTCTAACCTGTTTATAATCCTCATTTAATCCTAATCAGTAGGTGTCCGCTCTCATGTCACTTCAGCGTCGCTCAAAGATCGTCCACAAAATGTAGTCTCACCCTTGTCTCTAACCGTGATCTGAAAAATAATTAGTGTGTTTCACGAACATATATCAAGAAAGCTTTCAGTACACATAAATGTTTACCTACTACATCTAGTTAGTGCGAAGTTTTATTTGGGTGTGAGGAATATTATAGTATTCTAATTATAGTATGAATTAGGAATTCCAGGATTAACGCAATTGAATTAAGAAGACACAGGCACAACGAATGTACTGTATTTAGAATTCGAAATCGAGCATTCAACAAGTACAAAAGAATCATTAGTTAATTCAAACACCACATCCGCCACAGCTTAAATAGAAGTATAAGTGTTTGTAATCGGTTGTACGTCTTCTTGTTAAGTTCATCCTGAGTCTGTCCGAAATTGTATAAGATAAAAACTTTGTAGTATCTAGAAAGTGCTCATTAGTATTGGAATTAACAAACGAAATCGGAACAGCCTCACCTGGAATTGTATACAACCAGCATGTCGGTTTTGTAATGAAATCATTAATATCTAGAATTCGAACCATAGATTTTTCAACACTATCCCCCCCCCACGAAATAATGTTGGATCTTTATACTCCCAAGTTATGAATAATGTGGCTTCATTTAAAACATATATCTCACATTGTTTAGAGTAAACATTAGAACTGTTTTTGTGATAAGAGTAAACAGCAGTTGATATGAAATCATCCGAAATATAATAAAACTCGAGGTCACTTAGTACTCGTGCTTCGCATTGGGCAGGTTTTTCACGAAGATCAAATACATTATGAGGATAGGTAATATATGATATGACATCAGGATTTGATTCTTCTGAAATATTCTCATGAAATTCATCAGGACTGTCGTTGCAGAGCGTAGGATCGTTAGAAAAATCAGCATCTATCCAAACCACATCAGGTTTTCGATCATGATTAGGTTCATTTAACATATTTTCCTCAGAATTGCAAGTAATTTCATTAGAAATATGTGAATCATTAGGAAAAGTCATACTTGGTACGATAGCATGAGAATTCTGATAAATCGGTTGATTAGGAAATGTTGTCTCACAAGAATTCTGGATTTCATTTAACTCTGAACTGCCATATGACTCTGCACTGTCTTTTGAAATCGTTGATAAAGATAAATGATCATCATGAATACTCGACTCAGTAGAATCAGAATTACAAGACTTAATATTAATTGCAGTAAGATGAACATTAGCATTACAAACTGACTGAACTTGTCCAATATCACGACATTTGAAGCATTTAGAATTATGAAATTTACATGAATTAGAAGAGTGGAACTTGCAACAGGACAAACACTGACCAAACTTGTCCCCATCCTCGTGAACTGCATCCAAATTCAATGAATTGTCTGCATAACCTTGAGTATGCACTAGGTTGAGATGACGTAGTAATGTAGTGGACTTTTTTATATCCTCATGAATCATTTTACGAAATCTTCCTCCTTTACGACATTTGAACTTTGTATACTGAGCATAGTCTAGCAGTAGATCCTTGAGAGCTGTATAAGAAAGCGAAATGGGTTTTTCCGGCATAGCCAGAGTTCTTAATAAGCTGTATGCTTCTTTTCCAATGAATGTGAGGAAGTGTGCCACAATATTAACATCCTCATCATCTTCCTTGGTCATAGCCCAGATTTCGAACCTTTCAAAGTAATCTTCAAAAGCTTCTGAAGTTGAATGAATATCTAACTTTTCCATTGCAGGCTCCATCGCGACGCCAATATAGTATTCTAATTATAGTATGAATTAGGAATTCCAGGATTAACGCAATTGAATTAAGAAGACACAGGCACAACGAATGTACTGTATTTAGAATTCGAAATCGAGCATTCAACAAGTACAAAAGAATCATTAGTTAATTCAAACACCACAAATATCCAATTCACCAAGATTTACTTGTACAATAACAGAACTTCAGTGACAAGCAACGTTCTAATCACTTGAGTTTTAAAGTTGTGTTTTTTTAATGCTTCTTAAACGTCTGTGACGTAGAATGCTCAAACGTACAGTCATATTGCAAAGAGTAGATAACTGTATCTACTAAACGAAAGGAAAGTGCTCAAAGCCGTAATTGTATTTTCTTATAACACTTGTTCACTTTATCAATCATACCATGGAAAAGCCTTTGTTTAGCCACATCGTTCACGTTTGTTAGATGTTTCTCGCTGACGTTAACAGATGAAAATTGTGATGTTAGTACACTTTCTAAATAACATAAACTAAATGTGGTCTTATTTTGTATAGCTTCATAGGATCTGTACTTTGTAATTCTGTGTTTCGTAATAGTATCCATATACGTAGTTCTGGTTTGTTGAAGTACAATATTATAGACATGAAGGACGTTTACGGATAGTGATACATTAGTCTGATGATTATTGCCATCTAAATAATAGATAAACTGTAAACTAGATTGGCTTAAATACAAATTAATTACTTGCAGCTTGTTGCTGAGTAAACATATTTAAAGCTTGCAGCTCATCTTCAGTTGACGAAGGTAAGTGTAGGCCGACTAGTCCTCGGCCAAATTATTTTGACTGGTTACCTGTCGTTGGTTTTTTCAACGGTAGAATTAATTGCCTCATACTTTCAGATAACTCTCCAACCTCGTCTGACAGTGTTTTCATGTTTGCATTTATCTTTATATGATCTGCAAGACTTCAGAAAATATCAAAGTTGACCCTCTGTTATCTTATTATGCTCACTCTGTATCTTATTTTTTTTATTAGTAGTGCTTTTATACATAAGCCGTGTATATGATATATATATATATATATATATATATATATATATATATATATATATATATTGAGGCTCTTTAGAATACTAAACTTATTAAATGATAACTTGACACTTTTAGATGCTTATAAAAGGCTTAAACATTTACAGATTCTTAAAGCCTGTTGGAATACGGGTACGTCATGTATTTGATTGAATTAATTGTCGTCTTGAACGTTTTAGCACGTAGTGACTTTGACCAAAAAATATCCTCGCAAAGTACCTTCTATTTTGTTGGCAGAAGGTATTTTGCCCAAATTGACCGCAGATGACATGGTATACGAAGAGGTCAACATAGAAACAAATGAATCCCCATGTATAAATGTTTTATTAACAGATAACGTGCCTGGTATGTTAATATTTTTATGCTGAATCGCTTCATACCTGTTTAAAACACTAGGGCGTTTTCGGAACATTTTGGATTGAAAAGCTAACAGAAGGTCTACTGGTTATTTATTGTCATCTTTCTGTTGAAGCACTTCACGATTTCAATCATGAATTATTGACGACTGTTACTCTTCGACATTTTATTCCAAGTCTTCTGATTTATTTTAACATCTTTTGATCTTACTCTTCTACCGTTTTTATTCAATTCAGCACTTAATCATATTCGTATTTCTTTCATTCAGTCAAACTGTCTGTTGCATTTGCAAGGTTAAATTTTACCCTCAAACGTTTATTTACAATATGGAAGTTCATATTCATTTGTAGTTTATTAGTATTTGTCCAATCTATCAACTAGTAATCTTCAATACGTAAAATTAAAAGATCTATATTACTTTTCTTGTCAATGTTATGTAATTGATCACACCATTCCTATGCGGACTCAAATGTAAAATTATTTATTTTATTATTTATTTCAACACAGATATTGGTACAAAGAGGCACCAAATACATATGCGCCACACAAATCTCATTCGATATGTGTGAGGGCTGTGATACTGCCCGGGTGCCCAAACCGAAGCAGGTGGTTTTCATAGGGGGCCACACCCCGAGCCTTCGACCTGAGGGCCTGATCCACAAGGCAGTGGAGCATCGTGAGGAGATGCAGTCCCATTGAAGCCGGTGACCAACAATTGGTTCACACGCCATTTGTTCCCTCAGGATACTGGAGCCCATGTTCACCATTGGTTTTGAATCCGGTTAAAGCGCCGGACATTCGCTTTTCGTCCTCTCATTTTCGTAAACAACACCCTCGCCACGAGAAGGCAGTGAGTAGGACTTCCCTGGCAGAGGCTATATACGCGTGGCCATGTGAGAGCATTTCGAGAGGGAGAGCGGAATCTCCCCACTCTCGGCCGTACGAGGGCATCTGGGGGCCCCGTACCAGGGCATTCGGGGGCTAAATGTAAAATGATAGTCAGTAAAGCAGAAACTATCAAGGAAATTTCCTGACTAAAATTCTCACAGTAGATCTAAAGTGCAGCGCAATATCTAGAAATGGAGTATTTGAATTACAGCCCAAAATATTTACAAGTATAAAAAGCAATTAAATTGTTTGCCGTATGTTATCTCATCAAAACAGAAGGGGTAGTAGTAGTTAAAAATAAGCAACTTATAAAGTGCTGTTGCATTTAATGTTGTTATTACTTCTGAGTCAGGCTGAAAAATATATTTGACAGCAAGTTTTAAATAGGTACAAGATGCTGAATAAAAATGCATATTTCTTTTGCCCTAGGACTTGGATCTGTTGGAACAGTAACCCCTGTACATCGTAATAAGTTCTGGAGATATTTGTATATTAAGGGACTTGCTGAGCTACCGACAGAAGAAAGAATCAACGAAATGAAGTTGAAACAAACAGTTAGTTAATTCCTCTTTATAATTGTGTTACTTTAGATTAATTTTTTTGGAAAAAGACCAATTTTTGCTGATGTTATTACTTGCCTGTTCCAGTTCACTTATATACATATAATATATTTAGCATGTTTTGTCTTATTTTACCCAGTATGGTAAATAGACTACATTAAGTTTTACCCATCAGTAGTTTGTACGTAAATATTGTTCTCATCCTCTTAATTTTTTTTAGGGAAGACCAACTGTTCTATGTGGTGAATCTTATGTTCTTCAACAACGCTTGTCTAATATGACCCTATATATACCTATGAATCCATCTCGAGAATGGACTCTCAATAAAACTCATGTTAAAGTTGCTTTAAGACGATATGTAAGCTATATTCGATAGAATTTCACTAATTGTTTTTTTCTTTAGGGTTTCGCAATAAAGGAACATTATATCACATTACCAAAAGAAGAAATAACTTCAAAAAATTCTACATCTTCATTTAAAATTAGCGTTAATGTAAATCTAACAAATATATTAACAGCTTATCTTGACATTATTTGTTTCTATAGTTCGCTTTTTTTTTCTAATAAAATCTTTTGTTTGATTTGTTAATACTAGTAATCCTTAAAAAATGACCATAGACACAGATATCGCTTTTAGTCTATATTCATAATGAATACGTACATTGTTACATACAATTCAACTGAATTTCAGTATCACTTGAGTTTTGTAATACAACTTTTTCACATCCTAAATCCAAAATAGACTTATACCAGTCCCCGAAACGATTGTTCATTATTCTGAATCATTGAATGGAGACTTACTCTTATTAATTGGATATTATAATGTTGGATTTCCATTTGAGATTTATTTAGTGATTAAACACGTTAAATGGAACAAATGTGCGGGATCGAAGCGTTTGATTCACGGCAATTTGATCACAAGTTTAAATCATGTTCTACTTCCTTGTCTGTGGACAACTGGGTCGTGTTACTAGCTTTCATACTAGAGGTTTTAGGCAGAGCCTGATTCCACATACAGATGGCACAATTTTTCATTTATGCAGTGGCAGAAAAAGCATTGAAGCGATGAAAATATTCGTAAGAAAATCACTACTCTTAAAAAAATCCAGGGCTTTTCTGCGCTATTTCTACATTTATTCTCCAACATAACTTGTCCATGGCAAAATATACTAATAATTTTGATTTTTTTTATAGACTATTCCGAAAGCCTAATATAATCTTGAATAGTACTATCGAATTTACCTTATTCGTATTTTCATTCTTCTGAATCTATACTTTATATTTACAGGAATTACGAACAGGTGTATATAACATTTAATGCTTCATTCCCAAACTTAACAAATCATTATCACTTTTGCGTGTTTTTTTGTTGTTCTTGTTGAAATATATAAGAACTCGAATTGGTTTGTTACTGTTGATTTTAATTAGCCAATAAAGATAAAAGAGGTCATCCGAATTTGGAAGGGATATTTAGTCTATTTATTTCAGTGTTTATATTTATGTCAAATGGAAATGACCATTACGTTTTTCTTTCTCACCTAACTAACATAGGTCCTTGTGTGTATATCTGGTACTAATGTGATCACAATAAGCTGTGATCGGTCAATGAACGAAGACACATATTTAGCTATAGTTAATATAAGTTATTGTTATATATTTAAAACTATTTCCAATCTGTTTCATTCAATGTATCGACTGCTTGTACTTTATTTAATAGGCTACTGGTCTGACCTATAGCTGATTCTTTATCTTGATTTGGATAATTAAGTCAAGTGTATCACATAATCTAGTACTCAGTCAACTATCAACCATCTAACATTTATTGTCCTAGTTTCGAATGTCAGTTCCTAGGATCAAGCAAACTCGTTTCGGTTACTATCATACAAGAGCTTTCAAGATATATTATGCAGCAATCATTTATTTGAGTGGCTAAATTGTAACATTTCAGTTCAATTCACTCATAGTTCATTTGAAAGATTAAACTTTCCAACAATGCATTTACTTTTTTTTGTTTTACAGATTGATGATATTGTCAATGTTGTTGTTCCATGTTCAATATTTCTTTATCAAAAGTTGGATAAAGGAATGTGTACTCAACCGCCAACAAATGTTTTTAGAAAAATTAAAATTGAAGATTGGACTGCAGATTTTTCTGAAACTGATATTTTAGTTTCTATTTAGAATTATTCAAATAAAAATTGATATATTTTTTTCAAAATAATAATTGTTTTTGATTTTGTTTAACTTTATCAGGTTGTTTATATTTATTCTAAACATAGTTTATTTTGTCATTTTCAATTATTTGTTAATGTTTCTATTCTTTATATATTTGTGTATATGTATACTGTTAACTTCATTACTTATCTTTGTTTTATATAAAAAAACAGAAGAAAATTGGTAATAGTCGTCGATTCTTTTCGTATTTCAAACGTCAAGCATATGAACCAACTAAAATTAAACAACTTGATGACTCTAGTATAGGGTTTATGGTGAGTATAGTTGGTTAATTTTTAAAAATTCTATAATGTCGTGTTGATTTCTATATATTTATCAGTCAAACAGGTAACATAAAACCTGGAATATATATATATATATATATACGACTCAAGTTGCCACACTATATCAGTACAAGGAGATGAAATTATCTAGAAAAATTTAAGAGTAGCGAAAGTTCTAACAGTATTAGTAGTGATAAAAACAGACGAAGTGTATAAAATATGATTCGAGAAAAAAATATACTAAATTTGCTGACTGAAATTTATGAGTATTTTAAGAAAAAGAATAAATATATCTGTAATATTGCCACTGGTTATGGGAGTTACATAAACCCCTACAAGATAGTTTGCACCTACCTACATTACTCAGACCAAAAAACAATAACATCAAAGGCTGATGCCAAGTTTCGGTCTAGCCAACCCTATCTTTCTTGCTTTATGCCAATAAACATAGCGCGTTGAAGTATACGGTGATTAAGCACACATAGTCCATGTCCTACCCACTTGAGAGTCGAGGCAGATTCCCTACCTCATCAGTTAGTTTGCCATTTTTACCTAGTCCCCTTCATTTAATATCTACATTGTCTACCCGGTGATTGCAACGTTCAGGAGCAATGTTTCGTAGTCATCTATCATCAAATGCCAGTAAGCTTAGGATGTCCACTTCCAAAGGCCGAATCTCATAACCATAAAGCAGAACAGGACGAATTATTACACACTGTCCTCCTTTTTTTAGTTAATAGACGAATATCTTGTCTACACTACAAGTAACATAAGTTTGCAGAAACGTAGCACGGTTGCTGATTTCTTGCTAAGACTTAATCAAGAGCTAACTCACTATGGTCTCTGAGACTTCCAACATGGATGAAACAATCGATTCGTTCGACTACTTCACTCCCATTAATTTAACCATTAACTCATATCAGTTATAAAGTAGTACACTGTATATGTTGTTTTTGCTAGTTGGCTTTTGTCAACTTATGATGTGATATTTTTTTCATTTGATATTTTCCTCATATTCATACTCCCAATAAGAATACTGTTCTTATTAGTCAATGGCTGATAATACTTTTTCTTATGTGTTTCTGTCGTATTTACCTTATGACAAATACTGCTTTATAATTTAGTGTTTCGGTTTTTCAGTCAAATTTTCACATTCTACAAAAAGTGCTCTCAATAACTTCACAATCGCAGACTATAACATCCAAAACTAAATCATTCATAGTTAGTCTATCCATATGATGCAATGTTTCGAAGTGATCATTTTCAATAGTAATTTTCCCCAAGAAGAAAAACGACGTTACTCATTGGTCAAGACATTCAAAATCAAACGCTCGAACCTTACTTCATCTATTTCGCTGCAGGCAATCATGTAATTATCTCTAACCTCTAAATCTAGAGTGTGGCTTGAAGGCAAGTATACAAATCTGCACCCGGTGAATGAATTATTAATATGAAGGCGAAACAACAACAACTAGGCATAATATTGGGAAATTAAATAAATGTTTATGTTATTCTATGAACCATACATATAGTATTCAAGTTCACATTAATATTTAATTCTACTGATCTAAAAAAGCTAATGCGTATTCAAACTCTTGATTGAGTTATTTTATTAGGTATTGTAATATCTCGGCAATTAGGTCATTTTTATTCACTTTGAGACAGAATGTGTCAGTAGTAAGTTTTGAAAAAATCAGTATGTCACTCTTATAGTATCTTCGATTGACTCACATCATTTTCAGTTGTTGACAGTTGATGCAATTACACTTTGAAAACCAAAGTAGTATGAACTAAACATCTTTTGTCACTTTGTAGGTTACGCTATCAAATATTTGTTCCCTATTAAGCAGTATGAAGCTTTTTACTTCGTGACACCATCTTACGTTAAAAATTGAAATATCTGTTTTATTCGATATTTTCTCATTGTACATTAACACTTTACTATGCTTACTAGATTTATCATTATTATCGCAAATAATTCATTGTCATTCTCGACCTTGGTTTCTTCATAATCGTCTCTACGTATATTTATGTTTCTTACTTTTGATAATCCTGTGAACTACTCCAAAATTGAAGTTATTTAATTATCGTATTTGAACAATCATCATAACTCGACAAGCTACTACTGTGTTGATTGGTTTGGCGTGATCGGCAGAGGACTCTTGATCTAGTTGGGACTTATCAGCAAGGTGTACCTGCAATCTTGAATTAATTAATGCTCCTTGTGGAATTCAAGCGAACAAGTTGATCAGTAGAATTCAATTAACATTTAAGGACTAGACAAATCTGATATTAGTCAATGCTCAGTAATTAATAAGTTGTAAATTACTACTGTCTTTTATGTATTTATATTAACCTGATCATCCTTATAAATACTCATGAATTCTGTGATTATTTTCAGATTTTTTTATTACTTTTATTGATACACTTCGGTTGATATTTCCTCTATTTTTATCTATATCTTCATTATTTCAGTTATCTGATTTAAATCATAATGGTAGAGTTGCATTAGCTCACTTTGATCATTACTACAGTGAAGCTTATGGACCAGTTGCTTGGCGTTCAATGCGTATAGCTTTATTAATGCCATCTAAAAAAGCTATTCTCTATAATCGTTATTTTCCCAATGTTAGTGAAACAATTTCATCATCATATAATAATGATGATAATCAGTCATTTTTACCAAACATAAACTTTATGCAAACATTAATTAAACATCAAAACTCTTTGACAAATAATGTATTCAATGCTGATAAGAATCCGAATATTATTGATAAGGTAACATGTTTATTAGATTGTTTGTTCTCACGCAAAAAATTTTTTAATTATTTAAAAAATTCATATAAATTAACAGTACAATAACAAATACTTTGTATCTATTATAACACGGAGTGTTTAAGTTTGATACTTATGCACACAACTTCCTATATTCCAAACCTTCAACTGGCCATTGCATGAGAAGACTGAGAGTGAAGAGGAAAGTTTATTGGACTGAACCACTTGACATGCTGAAGCATTCATATATATCATACACTCAGAAAATGAAATTACTACTTGTCCAATCACATGCACTTATCATTAGATTTTTGATTGGCCCAAGGTAGTCTTCTCACATGGCGAATTTTAATTGGTTAACTGTATCACTATTCAATTATAATTTGTTTTCATATATTATGAGACAATGTTTTGTAATCTTCAGGAATTCTGTTAAAATAAAGTGTTGTTTTTTAAATGAGGAAATTAAATTTCTTCGAAATATTCAGTCAAGATACCAATTCCTTATTAACAATGAGCGTCAAACTATATTTCCAGTTCATATTTTCAAATGCTCTTCTTATTCCGACTTATTGTTGATATTCAGAATTGAGTTTTTATTGTCTTTGTTATCACATATGTATATACTGTTATAATAGTCAAGAATTTCAGGGAATAAGTTTACTTAATTACTCCCTATTGTGTAGAGTTCGGTGGATTAAGTACATGGAATTCAATTTCTTTATTAAGATTCCTCTTTTAATAATTGCCTTTTATTGTTATAACTGTTGTAATACTGTTAGTCCACAATAGGACAGTTTCAGCGCAATACCTTTTAATATTACTATTGACTAATACACAGACAAACATAACATTCGGATGCCCGTTAGATTTGGTCGATTCCAGACTGAATTTCAGTTCGTGAGTTTATTGACTTATGATTCAACTTGTGAGGGACAAATGTACTTTTCTTTATTTTGAGATGTTGGGTGACGACATGCCCATATTATCTACAGTGATATAATTGTATTTGTTGTTTCTATAAGTCTTAGTATTAGTACTATTTTATTTATTACTACTACAACTACTCTGGGATTTAGCTTGATAATTCTATCTTGCTGCGTTAATGTAGTGTGGCAACTTTAATCGATACACATATCTGCCAGGTTATACATTGTATATGACTGACTAACTGACAGTGAATTTCTTACGTCCAATTTTCCACTGTAATGCACATTACGATTTATCCTATTTTGTTCCGCAACTTGATAATTTCCTTCTTTTTTCGTGTTGATGCAAGATGCGGCACTTTCTAAACTAGTTCCTACATTTCTTGATGAATATAAAATATTCAGTCCTTCAAATGTGCAATTGTTTATTTCCATGCACTGTAAAAAACACAAATGTCTACCTGGAGAACAATAAAAACTTTATGGCCAAACGATTGAGTTCAGAGAAAGCAACTTCACTAAAATCATCCACCTAAGTTAAAAACCTTCACCTTTTCAAAAACAAGGGATTATTTTGTGTCACTTGTTCTTTATACTAGAACAAGTATCATACTTTGAAACGTACAATTTAAACATGTTGAATAGCTGCATAATTAAGCTATTGAATAATACTTTTTTATGCATCTTGATCCCTTGATAAATTTGGATAAAACAAACTTTCTAGAATAGTATGAATTAATTATACTGCAAATAGACTAAATTTATATTTGTAATATTATTATAAAGATTCTTTATCACACAGCATAATCAATGAAGTTTAGTTAGGAACATTATATAAGAAACAAGAAGATGAAACATGTGTAACATGACAATTGAGATTAATTAGTAATTCCATATGTTAAAGATGAAATCATAAAAAAAGAAGAGTATGAAATTACAAATGATAGTAAACAGACGATGAATGGAAAAAGCATTGTAAGCAAATGAATAAACATGGGTATCTAGTTGACATGAGATTCATGTTAATGTCATAACTGAATATAAGTGGAATATCTTATTTCAAGTTATATAGTGCAATAAAGAGATAATACAAGTGATTAGCGTTAAAATAATCTATCTTTCCATGGCAATGAAAGATTTACCACTCTTTCTGTATACAAAGGTTAGGTCAAAATCACTTGATGTCAATGACTCTTGAAATGCGAATTAACAGTGATGTTCGCTGCTTGTTAATTGTTTCACATACTTTTGTGATATTTACGTCATATTCACTATCCATTAAATGTTTTATGATCCTACTTCTGAATACTTTACTTCCTTTCTGAATATTTTCAAGAAACCTTGTAGATTCCATTTTTTTAATACTTCCCATTTACTTGTTTCCATAAATGTATGTAAATTCGTTTGGAGGTGACCTCAGAATAGTATTGATCTACTTTTGATTGATTTAAGAAACATCGCGTGTTATATTTCGAAAATAGTTGGGCTACAGCAAAGCTTGTCTTTAGCACTGCTTTAATTCTTTTATCAATTCTCCCTGAAATCTCTTCACTTTTAAAGGCAAGAAGATTGATGGTGGGTTTTTCTACCTACAGTTGTTGTTTAGGACTTTCTGTTATCGTTTTTCTGTACTTCATAATAATTTTTTTTGGAAATCCTTTTTTTAGAACGACCTCCTTAACGTACGCTGTTTTCCTTGTTTTTTTTTCTCGGTTGAACACAATCTTCTAGCCCTGTTGAATGAGATTTTGACTATAAAATGTTGTTTGTAACTAAATAAGATTGAAAAAATTATGACTTAAGTATTGCCTCGTCCATGTTTCCTTTCTAAATATGACCTTCATGATTGTTCTATCGTTCTACGTTTTATCTTTAGTCCTAAATAGTTAAATTAATTAATGTGTTATTTTATTCCATTATGAATTTGACGTTAGCATGTACTGCATTAAAATACTAGAACAACGGTAAGGCATGATTCCTATCATTACAAACAGACAAAAGTGTATCATCAATATTACCTTCCGTAGAATGTTACGTTGTGGATTTCGTGTTTGAATTTTGTTTGTTCATGATCAGCCACAATGATGTTGGTTAAAATAGACCGTGCCAATGATCCCGATAATCTTTTTCAATTTGTATATGTAACCTTCTTGTTCCTAAAGTTGATATTATGCTTATCCATTACTAATTATTATTTGTGACAAGAAATCGTTGATATCATATATTTTTTTTATGAAAATATTTTCAACATTTTCTTTACATTTTAAAGGTTATCAATGTAACGCAATCTGATGCACGTCGTAGACAATTTTTAACACGTTACAGCCCATCAGATGAAACTATGGATACAACTAATCTCAATGAATTTATACCATCAACTGAATTAATTAGTGAAAATGAAATGTATACAAGAGAATGTGATACAGACTTTACATTTTATTCTAAAGATTATTATGGTATGATTAAAGCAGATGAAGGGGATTCATCTGATTTACAGTCATTGAAAGTGTTAACTGAAGAATTTTATATACCTGAGAAGTTATGTATTAAATGTTCACCTCCTGGTAGATTGGTTACAATACCACATCCAACTTATTTAAATGGACAATTTAGTATGTTACACATATATCATGTATTATTTGTTAAAATTTCCTATATTGTCAGCATGCGTTTGAGATGATTGTTGAGTTCCATTGAAATCATGAACCAATCTATGTTGGACAACCTTGAAGCATTGCACTGCTTTTTTGTCTTAGTATGATGGGAATCCTCAACAGTGTGCTCCCATGAGCCCACAACCGGTATGCAAATCTAACTTCAATTAGTATTTGAGCAGTAGAGCTAAACTGTGTCGATTGTGAAAAAGCTACCTAACGAAGACAGTAGAAAATGGTCAGGCTATATTGTGGATCGATTGGGGTTTGACTTGTACACTATTGGATCCCGTCTCAGGGTTTCACATGTTAAACGTTCGCGTGCGAAACCGAAAGTCCTGGATTTGATTCCCTGATCTGAGGTCGTCAACGCTCACATCTGAGGAGTGCAATGCTACGATGAAATGGCCGTCCAGTGCTTCAAGCTTTTCAGTAGTTGTCAAACTCCGATCAGCTCATAGTTTCAATAGTTTCCTATATTATTATTATTGTGTTTCTTCGAATGTGTCTATTCTAACAATGTTTCTGATAATTCATATTGTATCAAAGAAATAGAGTTATGCAGTGGGATTTGATGTAATTGTTCATTAGTTTAAGCTGCCATACTTTGTCATACTCTGTCTTCTCTTAAACTATGAGATTAAAATCGCTTCATGTCCTTTCTACGTACTATTTCTTTCTTATTGTACTATATCTTTATATGCAATCTTTCTTTATATATTACCACCATTGAGTTAACTACTTCTATCAATCCGGTGTTCATCTTGCTGTGCTAATGCGGTATGGCAATTTGGACGGATGCATATATGTTACTGGTCCTACGTTGTAGCTGACTGACTGCCATACTTTAAGTCAACTATATGAAAAATAGGTCTAGATTTAATATTTCTCTACCGTAATAATTATTGGAAATTACTTATTTACACGATGACTAAACAGCCATAATGCATTGATAAATGACGTCACTTTGTTTAAGACTCTTATCCTTATTAACTTCGATCTCAATCAATATTGACTGTTTATATATGAGTGTTGCACTGGAGAAACTTATGTCTGAGTTCTTATAACCTACATTTTCAAGTTGTTTATTAAAATTATTCAGACTCTTGTCTAGTATGTGCATTGTTTCGTGGATTTTTCATCATTATGACTTTCAGAACCGTAATAATTCTAACCAATTCATGTTTCGCCCATAGTCCTGGTCTTTCACATAATTCATACTTATTTATTTATTTATTTGAATACATAAATATTGGTACAAAGGGGCACCGAATACACATGCGCTACACAAGTCATTTAATTTGTTTGTGGGCTTTGATACTACCTGTGTGTTCGGACCGAAGCAGGTGGTTTTCTTGGGGGGCCACACCTAGAGCCTTCGACCTAAAGGCTTTTTTAAATTATAATAGGTAAAGTAGAATGAAACATTTAGTTCACTAATCAAATCTTAATCTTTAAATCATAGAACTTCAGCTTCGTATAGTGCTTATATCTTTTCATTTACAACACATCAGTCAGTGTTATTAGTACTGTCTTAATGAAGTTTAATGTTAAAATTGTTACCGTAACATAAATCGTATATCCTTTACTGAAACAAATAATGTTATTTTTATCAAATGTATAAAATATCTCACCTGAACATTATGCTTCAGTGCATTTAAATTAACTGTAATGATTTAAATTCTATGATGGTTACATAAAGATTTATTTGTTAATATAACTTCAAGTTTTATATGAAGTATTATTTGAATCTAACACCTCTATCATTCATCATTTAATATGGAATAATCTTCAAAAGAGAAACAAAAGATAATTAAGCATATTCAATAGTTTCATTGTTTACAGATCAATACAATTAGCCTTACTATTTGTTTTAATCATTCAGCTTATTGAATGATTATTTAATATATAATCAGAAAAGGTTTGTGGAGATTTTTGAAATTTCACAGAGTGAAATCATGAGTCAGTTGAAACTAGCCAGGTTTTCCATGGTGGTCTAACTTCAACCGACTCATATATAATCGTTTATTTGTTATTTTTTGTTTTTGTTTCTTTTTTAGATTTTCATACAATAGATTTAAGCTCTGTTCTACCTATTTTAGTATTGAATTTACAAAAAAATGATAATATGGTTAATATGTCTACATTTTCTGGAACTAAATCAGTTATTGCATTACAAACTGGTTTATTAAGTTAGTTCACCATTGTTCTTTATATTTATTATTTAATATTGATTTTATTAGTAATTATCAAGTATAGTGTTTGTTTATATACAAAGTGAAATGAATAGGCTATGATAAATAATGGAAACTATTTTTGAGTACATTATCTCATTTAATTCAAATCTTGTAAAACATTAACATTTATTTTTGTTCTTAGTTTATTCTACAGACCATAAGTTTTTGTTTGATGTATGATTCATTGCCAGAATGTTTCCTGTTCCAAAGCTATTGTAATTTAAACGTAGTCTTTTGTACTCTGTTTTCTATTCTAATCCCCAGTTTTAGGCATAATTGTATTTTCCTAATTGTTTGCACGTTGTGGTCTTGTTAGTCATTTTTTATTCATGTATCCTTTTACACTAATCTAAATCGGAACCAAATTGGAGTGTGAATCGGAATCGGGAATAAATCGAGTAGTGTTGCGGTTGACTTGTCTTCTCTCTCTATTGCTTGTTTGTCGGCCAGTCAGGTGATAGAATAGTTTTCATCTCTAGTCTCACTTCGAATTCACACATACTAGCCTTAAGCTTAAACCCCTCAACCTTCTTGGCAAGGTCATAGTTTAGATTTGGGCAAGCTATTTTCTGCATATTAATGGGTAGACAGATCAAGGACGTAGGACAAAGATATTTTATTATTTGAATATTGTAAGTTGATAGTATAACTCGTTCTTACTTTTATTAAAGTCAGATTTTGTACATTTATCACAATCAAAAGGTTATTCGATAACGTTGGAAATATATATCTCCTAAAAGTCACATTTTTTAGTAATTTCTAATTTAGAGAAAGGTAGACATTTTCCATTTCGTCTTAAGTCTTTATTTCCATTACTATCGTTCTCTCTAGCCTGCTTCGGTTTGGGCATTTGGGCTGTATCATAACCCACACACAAATCAAGTGAGTTGTGTGGCACATATGTATCCGGTGCCCCTTTGTACCAACATTTATGTGTTCCCTCTATTATATATTATCAGCATTTAAGCTATTCTAGGGTTTGGGCTAAAATTAACAAAGATCTGTACGGTGTTTCATTTTGTTCATCAACTGTTCTTCAGTAACACCTAAAGCAGTACTTTTAAATCCTGATGTGGTGAGACCATATATTATCAACGACCTTTGAGCGACGCTAAAGTGACCTTGAAAATATCCATCTTACTAGTGTTAAATGAGGGTTATAAACCTGTGTGAAGAATTAGGATTATGTTTTTTAGTAGATGGTTAGGGTTTAGATTTACGGTTTTCATCACCAACTGACATCAGCTATAATGCTAAAACCCTATTTGACCAAATGGATAAATGGATTTCGCCCCAAAATCCAAGATCTATTATCGTAAATCTGATTGGCTCGTCCATAAATTATAGACTCGCCAAACTTTATTATTGATATAGTTATTTTAATATACAACTTAATAAAATAAACCTGTAAATTGTTCTTTTCAATTTTGATCATCTACGTTTTCAGTAGTATATAATGAAAAATTACCATTATTGCATTGTGTTTATTTATTTTCCATTATCAAGATCGTTTATTATGTGTGATACGTACTCCATCTCGTACTACTCATGTTCAACAAATGATCAACACTTTTAAATCGTCTGGAATTAATTCTAAAGAGAATGATAAACAATACAATAATACTAAAATAGACTTTGTTTACTCAAATGATGAATTGGCTGGTTATTTTTCTGATAATATTGATAAAGATTATAAATTTAATAAGATTTTAGTCAATGTTCCTTGTTCAGCCGATCGTTACGCAATCACATCTGGTGGTACACATGTTTTTGAAATGGGACAAGCTCATTTACGTGCTCATTTACCGAAAATTCAGTTAAATCTTCTCCGGTGAGTTTTGGTAGAACTTTTCTAAACTGTATATGATAATAAATAAAATGTGATTGTATGGTGCACTCAAGTAAAAATTACTTACGCGATCAGATTGTTGGTTCGCTGCCCCCTCTCCTCTTGATTAACTGAAAGGAGTCAACCCAAAGGTCGTCATTAGCACAGAACTTCCTGGCATTGATGTGCGTTGGCCCAAGTTGTCATACTACATTACCATTACGATATGAATGTAATTAGGTGAATCACAATCAGGAAGACTGAACTTTTGGAATATAGTCCAAAAAGACACAGTGAAAAAACAAAGTATTTATCAAAAATACATTGGTATTCAAAATTGATAAAATGATAGAAAGTCGATGGTTGGAGGTAGTAGATAAGAAATCTTGAACCTAGTTTTCGTGTTATTTGGCACTTGTTAACAAGATATGTACCTGTCATTTTGATGGAACTGATGCTCCCTGGCGGAATCAATCTCATATCATCCAATTTTGTTTCAATATATAATTACTACTGTGATTGATTGCATAGTGTACAGTTAATGCTTTTTTTCCCTCATATTATTACATCCTATTCTTCTGTAGTCAAGCGATGGAATTATGTCAACCTAACGGTTATGTTGTCTATTCAACATCAACATTATCACCAGGTCAAAATCAAGAAATTATTCAATCATTTATACTAAATCATTCAAAGAATATTAATTTCACATTGATCAATTTAAAACCATTGTATGATTTATTAACTGTTTGTTATTCTAAATTAGGTTTAAAAATTATTCCGATTCATTTACCTTTATTTGATAATATGAATGAAAATAATCATAATACAAATCTATGTTCAAATGATACTTGTCATGGTTTATTAATTATTCCATCGATATCGTGTAACTATGGTCCAACTTTTATTGTTAAATTTAAACGCCTTCCTTAATTGATTTTTTTCAATTGGATAACTTTGTTACTATGTAAATTTGTTTATGATATTTATAATTATATATTTTAGTAATATTATTATTATTTTTAATCTTATGAATAATGTTATTTTATACATTTCTGATCATTCAACTATTTGTAATGGAATGTTAACATTACTAAATTTAATTGTGTAACTATCAAAAATTAGGAAGCATTGGACAGTTTTTTCATCCTATTATATAACTCTTCAACCGTTCCCATCTATAATTCAACAGGGAATCGAATATAGATTCTTAGGTTTCGTAGCTAGTGTTTAACATTTAGACCACTAAGTCGTTACTCAATATTATATATTTATATATCAATTAATCAGATTGCTTGATCATCTTACGCTGTTATTGAGAGGTAGCTGTCTCATAACTGACTTGGTTAAGCTGCACTAGTCATAGCTTCTCACTGCAATTCCATGGAAATTGGCTTTCATTAATGATCTATATTATTATTTGAAGAATTATAAGTCATACTAGATGAAGATATCTTTTTAGTCGGGAATTCATCAGTGTCTCACACACACATACACATGACCGTTCAGGATTAAACCAAGAACATGGTGATCACGAATTGACTGAAGTTAGTAAATATTGGTCAATAAATATCGAATGTTTAGGTGAATGATACAGTATTGATTATGTGATTTTGAAGATTTTGTACTTGATGTTGCGCATATATGAAAAATTGCAATAGGTATAGCAAATTGAAATCATTCCTCTAATAAAACATTCGTGTATATTACTTAACACTTGAGCGTAATTTAAATACATATATTTAACCTGGTTCGAACTCATATATACTCTATTGTGATGTATTTTTGAATGCTATTAGTATTAATCGTTCAAACTTCAGACGAAAGAGTTACATATGAGCCTAGAACGTATTTGACAGCTTGGTGTCTAGCATCATCATCCTCAGAAATAGTTACGTAATAATATGTTCAAAGAGTAATCTAATTTAGCCGCAACAATTTTATAACGATTAACTGCTGGTGGCTGGTGAAATATCAGCATAGAATACTGAAGTCTCGTTTAACCTTTACCACCTTACGGTATTAGTAATTTGTATAAAATATCCACCTATATATCAAAGAACAAGTACATCGGGGACTACTGTTTTGTGTATTAATTTGTGGCTGGAAAACGCGGAGTATGGAAGTAGAATATATGAGTAGGCTGCTATTGTTTGACCATGTATATCTTCGAAGCATTGCTCGTGTATGGTAGAATCATTTAGTGAGTAATGCTAATGTTAAGCGTCAGGGTTTAAGTAGAAATGCTAAGTTGATTGACTAATCAAGTTGTAAACCTTCATTGTACGCGTTACAAAAGCTCAGTCACTGTCTACCTGAATATCCTTTTTATCTAGAGCATGAACAAGGTAAAACGAAGCTGGGGTATGCAAAATAGAAATAGCATCAGTCCACTAAGCTTTTGATCACAAGTCTGATCCGTTTGGTAAGGTGTAGACATCCAGGTTGAAATCCTTCCAATAATCATAATCTATAGTTGATTAAGAAATCCCAAAATTAATCGCGGTGTTGTACTTGCAATCACAGAGTCCCTCTATAAACGTTAAGTTTATTGTTATCTTACTTGATTGTTTCGAACTTTGTTTCAGTACTCGGTATAATATTTTCAGTCATTTGCTTCTAATTTTGTTAGTTTCCTCTTTTCTTTGTGGTAATGTGATATGGATGAACCCATTCCAGTTATATCCCACACTGTCAGATTCCTAATATATAAATGTACGGTGAATAATTTTAAAGTTTGAGTCACCAGTGCTGTATACCTCACCCCTTAGATATGAAAACCATTTCTTGACCAGTCATATGCACTTAAACGGCTGATTTTCAATTGGCTTAAAGTATCATTTATAAATACTTGTAAGATCAGAATCTGGTGATTTTATAGTGTATATTCATGTACTAACAACTCATTGGAATGTATGTGACATAACACTTGACAAAAGACACTTAACATTTTCTAGATGCGATACACATTTTATATTTGATTAGTTGTAGTGTCAGTTGCTATGTTAAGCCCATATAGCTTATTCTGGCTTCCGAACAAGCCAATTTGTTCATTCTTCTTGAGTCATATCTTTTACCTCGTTAATTATTCGCTTGTAAACCTCGTCTTTTTATGTGAGCGTATGTGTGCATTTCTTATCTGACTCATCACATGTCTGTAACTTATTATTGTTCGACTATAAATATCGACTCACGCTTGGCTAAATTGGGTTGTCTTACATGACTTCTCCACCGCGCGTCATCTCACTTCATTTTTCTCTTTGCTCATTTATTTGTATCAACGATTGTGTGAAATACACGTATTCGAAACTCACTCTCGTATTTGATTTATTTAATTCCGTTATTCACTAATGTGATTTAAATCGATGATTATATACGAGGATTGGCGATGTTTATTTCAACAACATTCATACGATCCAATCGTATTCAAATATCAGGCCACAAAATAGTCACGTAGATTTCGCATTTGAACTGACGACCGACAGTGTGAATTAGAGTTGAGACCAGTATCTCTCTCCTTGTTCCTTCTAATCTATCATCGCTTAGTGTGTTTATAGCGATAGTTCAACACCTAGGGAAATGTTTAACTACCATATTTTCTGTCGACGGTATGAAATTTATCGAGTCCCTGTACTCATATTTGAACTGAATCTTATAAGCATGGATATACCAATGAACTATTATAGAATAGCTCTCAAAAATACAAATCTTTGCAATGATCCTTGGACACTTAGACGTATTATTCATTCATACAACTTCAATTTCCCATCTTTTTATTATGAGATAAGCAAAGTTTAATAAATGAAAGTTTTTTAGACTGAACAATATAACTGATTAAAATATCCACATTCTGAATGCTGTGTATACCTATTCCAACTTGTCACACGTTTACACTATTTCACACTATACAATCATACTGATTAAAATAATGCCATATAGTAATTCAAATTTGGCATATTTACGTAATCACTTTATAATATCGAAACTAAAACTTAAAATGTTTACAAATAAGATTTGTGTAACCCATTAAACATTTACGATCTTGCATGCGAGATTCGAACCCAGGACTTTTGGGATCATGGATGCACACTGCTCAGAAGTCCCATAATAGAACAAGACAGCCATCTAATTCTTCCAGATTTTCAATGGTGATCTATCTGAAATCGACTTATGAATTGAACTATTAAATTACTATCATCTCATTAAACTTCCATTCTGATAATAACCTATTCAGCTCTTATAGACTGAGTAAAGTCGATGTTTTTTTCTAAATACTTTTAATATTCATTTAATGAAGAAAGGAACATTAATATAATTCATTTTTAAAAAATCACATAAAATAACAATTATTCACCAAGTGTATTTTATTATATACATTTAAATGTTGATATTAATTTGTAAATTGTATAGGACAATTGAATTCTTTCGATGTAAATAATTTGAATGTATACTGATTTGATGTAATGAATTTCATAAAATTTTGCCGAATTTGTTCAGTAAGATTGAGTACTTTCGCGGATTCATTCTTTCAATAATAATAATAAATCATAATAGAATGGTTTCGTTTAAAAGAGGAAATAGTTTTAAATACAAATAAACATAGAAACAAAACTATATAGACCGCCATGTGTATTTCAATTCGATTTTCGCACAACATTCGAAATACAATGAGAAAATTTCAATAGTTGTAATCATGAGTCAATCGAATCTAGACCACCATAGAATACCTGGAAGCACTGGACAGCGGTTTCGTCCTATCGTGGGACTCCTCAGCAGTGCACATCCACGATCCCGACACGCGACATTCGGACCCAAGACCTAACAGTCTCGCGCGCGAGCGCTTAACCATTAGACCACTGAGCCGGCCAGTATCCAACGGTGTTAATGTCTAACTTCAACCAATCCACGAAGTTGCGCCACCGTACACCACTGTCTTCGGTGGGCCGTCCAGTACTTGCAGGTTTTCTATGGTGGTCTAGTTTCAATTAACTCATGGTTTCAACAATTGAAATTTCTAAAAATCTCTAAAAAACCCCTTCTGACAATGAAGAATACTATTCATCTTATTAACTAAAGATTATTGTTGCTTTAGTTCGGGAATTGATAAAATTGTATTTTGTACAATTACGCACAATAAATATGCCGTGATATATAAACTAAATTAGGGAAAATACCTGCTTACGATTGTATTTGAGTTTACTTATCGTTGATTACGATGCAATCAATGTTTTTGTGGATAAAATGTATCCTCCCACTTTAATTAGGTTTTATGATCGTAACATCTAACTCTATAATCTTTTGCTTATTAGAAACAGTAAATCAGTATTAATCATATCAAAACTATTTAACCAACGTAAATTTGTCATTATAACTAGAGGTGTTTGGTGACTAGCAGTGAAATTTAAGACATGCGTTTCGTTCTCTTTAGGACTTGTTATTTAGTCCTGGAGTGAACATCAACTTTGAGATGCAGGTTGATCCAGCTAACGATTTCCAGAGGGGAAAAGACGAACTTCCTGCATTTCACTGCCAGCCATCATCCATTTTTGCCTACAATGCTTGTCACATAAGGTGATAGAGAAGCAATCCGCACATTATGCACATGTGCCAACAAGAGACCGATCAATTGCAGTCCTAAATAATAATGGGAAGATTCAAGTAAACAATACCAAGTGAATTTAAACTTCACCCCATTTCACAAGCAAGTGGCTGTCAGGACTCAATAGCTAAGTGAATAACGCGATGGAGTTTTAAGCGAACGGTACCGGGTTCGAGTGACAGAGCGAACATCAACTCTGAGGTGCAGGCACGTCCAGCTGACGAGTCCTAAATAGAACGGAACGCGCGTCCTGTATTCCACTGCTAGTCACCATCTATCTTTGTATATAATACTTGTGAATTGAGGCTATATCGAGGCAATATGCACAGACTGATCAAACTGCAGTCCTAAATAACAATGGGAAGATACAAGTAAACGACACAAAGTGAATTATATCTATTGCTAGGTTGA